AAGAAATAGAGGAAGATATAAAAAAGTAGAAGCATATACCTTGTCCATGGATTGTAAGAATTATTATTAAAATGTCCATACTACCCAAAGCAATCTATAGATTCAATGCAATCCCCATCAAAATACCAACAACATATTTCACAGAACTAGACAAATACTCCAAAAGTTTGTATGGAACCAAAAAAGACCCTGAATAGCCACAGCAATCTTGAAAAAAGAACATAGTAGGAGGTAATCACAATACCAGATATCAGGTTATACTACAAAGCCACTGTAATAAAAACAGCCTGGTATTGGCACAAGCACAGGTATATAGATCAATGGAACAGAACCAAGAACCCAGAAATTGATCAAAGACATTATGCTCAATTAATATCTGACATAGGTGGCAAGAGAATACAATGGAGTAAAGACAGCCTCTTTCATAAATGGTGTTGAGAGAATGGGACATCTACATGCAAAAAGATGAAGCTAGACCACCAACTTACACCATATACAAGAATAAACTCAAAATGGATAAAAGACTTAAATGTGCCCTGGCCGGTTTGGCTCAGTGGTTAGAGCGTCCGCCTGCGGTCCGGAGAGGCCCGGATTCGGTTCCTGCTAAGGGCATGTACCTCGGTTGCAGTTTGTCCCCGGCCCTGGTTGGTCGTGTGGGTGGCAGCCACTCGATGTGTCCCTTTCACATCGATGTTTCCCTCTCTCTCTCTTCCTCTCTCTCCCTCCCACTCTGTCTGTACAAAAAATGGAAAAATGTCCTCGGATGAGGATTAAAAAAAAAAAGACTTAAATGTGACTCATGAATCCATAAAAATCCTAGAAGAAAATGTAGGCAACAAAATTTCAGACATCACACACAGTAGAATTTCCACCAATACAATGCCTAAGGCAAGAGAAACAAAGGAAAAAATTAATACATGGGACTACATCAAACTAAAGAGCTTCTGCAGAGCAAAAGAAACAAACATCAAAATGGAAAGGTAACCCACTTTATAGGAGAGCATAATTGCCAACGATACATCAGATAAGGAATAAATTTCCAAAATATATAGAGTACGCACACAACTCAACAAAAGGAAGACAAAGAATCCAACTAAAAAATGGCAGGGGCCCTGGCCGGTTTGGCTCAGCGGTTAGAGCATCGACCTGTGGTCCTGAGAGACCCGGGTTCGGTTCCCTCTAAGGGCGCGTACCTCGGTTGCAGTTTGTCCCCGGCCCTGGTTGGCTGTGCGGGTGGCAGCCACTCAATGTGTTCCTTTCACATCGATGTTTCTCTCTCTCTCTCTGTTCCTCTCTCTCCCTCCCACTCTACCTGAACAAAAAAATGGGAAAATGTCCTCAAGTGAGGATTAAAAAAAAAAAAAAAAATGGCAGGGGACCTAAATAGACACCGCTCCAAAGAGGACATACAAATGGCCAAGAGACATAGGAAAAATGCTCAATGTCACCAATTATCAGAGAGACGCAAATTAAGAGGACTATGAGGTATCACCTCACATCTGCCAGAATGGCTGCCATCAACAAATAATCAAACAACAAGTGCTGACAAGGGTATGGAGAAAAGGGGATTCTAGTACACGGCTGGTGAGAATGCAGACTGGTGCAGCCACTATGGAAAACAATATAGTGTTTCCTCAAAAAATTAAATATGGAACTGCCATTTGACCCAGTGATCCTACTTCTAGGAATATATCCTAAGAAGCCTGAAACACCAATCAGAAGGAATACATATACCCCTATGTTCATAGCAGCACTATTTAAAATTGCTAAGATCTGGAAACAGCCCAAGTGTCCATCAGAAGATGAGTGTATAAAAAAGCTGTGGTACATATACACAATGGAATACTATGCAGCTATAAGAAAAAAAAAGATCTCTTATCCTTTGAGACGACATGGAGGGACCTGGAGAGAATTATGCTAAGTGAAATAAGCCAATCAGAGAAAGACAAATACCACATGATCTCACTTATTTGTGGAATACATTGAACAAAATAAGCTGATGAACAAAATAGACCCACAGACATAGAAAGGGTTCAGAATAACAAACCTCAGAGGAAGGGGGTGGGGGAAGAAAAGAGAGAAACCAAAGAATTTATATGCATATATGCATAACCAACAGACATAGACAACAATGCTGTAAAGGGGGTGGGATTGGGAGGAGGGTGTCTAGGGGATAAAAAGGAGAAACATCTGTAACAAAAATAAATAAATAAATACATAAATAAATAAATAATAATTAAAAAAAAGATAGCCCAGCCTGTGTGGCTGAGTGGACCGACCATTGTCCCATGGACTGAAAGGTCTCAGTTCGATTCCTGGTCAGGGCACATGACCAAATTTCAGGCTCGATCCCCAGTAGGAGGTGTGCAGGAGGCAACCTATTGATGTTTCTCTCTCACCCTTCCTCTCTCTCCAAAAAATCAATGAAAACATATTTAAAAAAAAAAAAAAAGAGTGAAAAGATAATCCACAGAATAAGAGAAAATATTTGCAAACCATATGTCTGAATAGGGTCTAATATCTAGAATATAAAGAGAACTCCTGTAACTCAACAAAAAGACAAACAATCCAATTAAACAATAGGAAAAAGACATAAATAGGCATTTCTCCAAATAAACAAATGATCAGCCAGCACATAAAAAGATGCTCAACATCATTAGCTACTAGGGTAATAAAAATCAAAATCACAATGATATACCATTCACACAATCAAGACAGATAATAGCCCTGGCCGGTTTGGCTCAGCAGTTAGAGCATCGGCCTGTGGTCCCGAGAGACCCGGGTTCGGTTCCCGCTAAGGGCACGTACCTCGGTTGCAGTTTGTCCCCGGCCCTGGTTGGGTTGTGCAGATGGCAACCACTCGATGTGTCCCTTTTACGTCGATGTTTCTCTCTCTCTCTCCCTCCCACTCTATCTGAACAAAATATCAAAAAATGTCCTTGGGTGAGGATAAAAAAAAAAAAAAGACAGATAATAAGTATTGGTGAGGATGTGGAGAAATTTAAACCCACATATGTTGCTGGTGGGAATGTAAATGGTACAGCTGCTTGGGAAAACAGTTTGGTGGTTCCTCAGTAAATTAATCATAAAATTATCACAGACCCAAATTCTACTCCAAGGTATATGCCCAAAATAATTTAAACATGCCCACACAAAATTATTCACATTAGTACTATTCATAATAGCCTAAACGTGTACACAACCAAAATGTCCACCAAGTGATGAAAGACTAAACAAAATGTGGTACATACATACAATAGAATATTATTCAGCCATAAAAAGAAATGAGTGCTGATACATTCTATAACATGAAAGAACTTTGAAAACATCACGTTAAATGAAAGAAGTCAGCCACAAAAGGCCACTTACTGTATGATTCCATTTATATAAAAATGTCCAGAGAGAGAAAGAAAGTAGATTAGTGGGAACTAGACTGCTTTGTAGGCAAGGGGTTTCCATATGTGATGAAAATGTTCTAGAACTAGATAGTAGTTATGGTTACACAATAGCATGAATATACTTAATGCCACTGGATTATACACTTTAAAATGTTAAATTTTATATGTACTTTTTGCTTGTATTTATTTATTTAATTAATTTATGTGGTATGTGCCCCTAGCAGAAACCAAACCGTGGACTCTCTCTGGTCCACCAGCCGATGCTCAACTGTTGAGCCAAACTGGTCAGGGTGATTTTTTTGCCTCAATTTAAAAAATAGTAAGATAGTCCACCTGGTGTGGCTCAGTGGTTGAGCATCAACCCATGTACCAAGGGGTCGCCGGTTTGATTCCTGGTCAGGACACCTGCCCAGGTTGTAGGCCCAATCCTCTGTGGGAGGGCATCAGGAGGCAGCCAATGGATGTTCTCTCTCATTGATGTCCCCCCCCTTTCTCTCCCTCAAAAATCAATAAAGGGAAAAAAAAGATAAAGCACCTAGTGTGGTCTTTGCACATGGTAGATATTCCGTAGTCATTGATTTTCATGACTGTGCAGCATAGTTTTAGTCACTCCCAGCTTCTAGTGATGACAAACACAGCCCTAGGGATTTACCAGTACTCGAGCTCTTCTGCCTTACGAAATGTACAAAGGTTTAGCAACTACATTCCTCTCTCCTTTATGCTATATCCCACACCAGTACTAGAAACCTTCCAAGGAAGTACTAAACTGCTTTCTGCCAGCCACCAGAAAGACAAGCAGCTGCATTCTATACCAGTCAAAGGTGAGGAACAACAGTAACAAAAGGTTGTATCGAGAGTTAGATTGGGAGGTGGTGGTAGGAAGTATTTTTTCATTGACTCTAAGACAATTACAAACATGAAATGATACAGCATTACATTACTCTCAAATCATGTATTTACTCTAGACCATTTAGAGTAGGGCAGAATAATTCTTTGTTGTGGGAGGATGTCCTTTGCATTGTAGGATGTTTAACAGCATTCCTGGCCTCTACCCACTAGACAAGAGTAGCATTCCCCAGTCATGACAATTAAAAATGTCTCCCAACATTCTGCCACCAAGGGGCAAAATAGCTCTCAGTTGAGAACCACTGCTCTGGACTAAAATATTGAACATCCTACCTAACATTAATACATATAAAAGGATGTGTCCTAGGGTTATGGGTTGTGTTGGGAAATAGGAGAGAGGACAAAACAACCTGACATCTTGGATTGCTATGGGTCAACCTCCTAAAAGCTAATATGTTTGGGAAAGGGCTGTGGGAAAACTCAGGCACAGAGAGCTGAAATTCTCAAAAGTACATTCTTAGGACCAGAACAATGGCCACCTAAACTAAGGGGAGTTGGGAATAAAGAAGCAAGCACCTAGTGATAAACGTAACCCTGCTGTTCTGCTTATTTAACTTCCTTTTGGATCACTGATGCTCAGAGACAAGTGAAAAAGTGGTCCTTGCTCTCTACATGCTTGATGCCTATAATGTCTGCCCTAGGGATAAAGGCAGCTTATTCAGACATTGCCAGAAAAGAAAGAAAGGAACTTCCTACCTGAGAGTCCCATTCTCTCCTTTGTCCAGGCTGGTGAACCGGCTGTAGAGGCGGGTGATCTGACTGTGGGAAACTAAAAAACACAAAATTAGTCCCAGTTGGAGAATTCTCCCTCCACTCAAATTGAAGCCCTGTGGTCCTTTGGAAGCCAGCTGTCTGTCTGGTCTGAGCCCACCATTAAATGCTGTGAAGTGAGCAAAATGGGAGATGTCTCAATTCTAACTCATCTCTTGAGTGTCAAAGGAGAAAATTTAAAAGCTAAAAAATGAAAGGAATTAGAAAATAAATTAAATCAAGAGCAATCAAAAGGGACTCTCAGGAATCAAATCTAGGCTTAATTAAGACTATATGTTAAATGTCAGGTAGTTAAATCTTAACAACACAAAGCCAATTTTAGTTTAAAAGCAAATTGAGCCCTGGCCAGTTTGGCTCAATGGCCTGTGGTCCAGAGAGACCTGGGTTCGGTTCCCGCTAGGGCACATACCTCGGTTGCAGTTTGTCCCCGGCCCTGGCTGGGTCGTGCGGGTGGCAGCCACTCAACATGTCCCTTTCACGTTGATGTTTCTCTCTCTCTCTCTCCTTCCCACTCTATCCGAATAAAAATGGGAAAATGTCCTCGGGTGAGGATAAAAAAATAAAATAAAAAAATAAAAGCAAATTGAGCCCTGGCCGGATTGGCTCAGCAGTCAGTGTGTTGACCCGCAGACTGAAGGGTCTCAGGTTCAATTCCAGTCAAGGGCATGTACCCTGGTTGCAGATTCAAACCCCGGCCCCAGTTGGGGTCGTGCAGGAGGCAACCAATTGATGTGTCTCTCTCACATCAATGTTTCTCTCTTCTTCCCCTCCCCCCACTCTATCTAAAATCAATGGTAAAAAACATCCTCGGGTGAAAATTAACAAAAACAAATAAAAAGAAATTGGAATTTTCACCTTTCAGTCCCCTCACTTAGAGGCTTTGAAAAAATGCATACTTTGATAAAAACACATACTTATTAATCAGTTTGAGGTTTCAGAGTGACACTACTGGATAGGGAACTTGTACTGAATTTAAGACTGGGGCACTCAAACAGATTTTATTTTTAAAATCTGATTTACTCCTGCACCAAGCATTAGTGGCTTTATCTTTTACCTCCGTACTGACCTTTCCCTCAGTAAAAGATCACCACAGCCTTGCATCAGCCTCTTTTCTGTGATTGCATGAGCTCCACTGAGTTCCCAGTAAAGGAATGGGATCCAAGAAAACAAATTAGGCAATCTATAAAATTGGCATGATATCATCACATGATATCTACAAAGAACTTATTTTGCTCCTCATTTTGGATTAACTCTGGCATAAGCTGACAAGTAAAATGAGATAATAACTGTACAATAAGACTTTTAAAAATGATAAAAAGAGTCTGGGCCAGTTTGGCCCAGCAGTTAGAGTGTTGGCCTGCAGACTGAAGGGTTTCGGGTTCAATTCCGGTGAAGGGCACATACCTGGGTGAAGGGCACGCAGGTGGGCATAGTGAGGGTGACAACCAACTGATGTTTCTCTCTCTCTCCCTTCCACTCTTTCTAAAAATCAATAGAAAAATATCCTTGGGTGAGGATTAACAAAATAGTAATGATAATAAAAAAAATTATAAAAAAAATTTCTGGAAAATAGTTTATCTCCTGGCAGACTGGAAGTAAAAGGGGGGAAAAGTTATCAAAGGAGAAAAGACAACAGCCAAAGAGGGTGTGGCAAGTGTGGACTTTGTCCCAGGCTGTACCTTCTCGGGCTTAAAGGAGTGGCTGAAAGACTTTTGATAGTTGTCCTCCTTGCCCCAGCTCCTGAAACAAAAATTTACTTGCAGTTTTAGGAACAACAGGACAAAAGTAAACAGGCACAGTGGGAGAAGCAGGAAGTAAATGGCCCAAAGCTAGGCTGTGAGGACAAACTAGGTGCAGCTTCAAATGCCTCAGCATCAGATTTCACCCCCAAACTGGACTGTTCTGATCCCTAGGGAGAGCAGAGAGCAGAGGAGGCAGAATCATTCCCAGCCAGGACAAAGCCAGCAGGGGTCCAGGTACTGAGGAAGCATTATGGACCTTTCTGGCAGCCCGACAGGTGTGAGCAGCTCCATAAAACATACACCCTTGTGAGGATTAGGTTGACAGAATGATTCCATTCAAGGCATCAAGGCTTACCAGTGTGAGGTGAGTGAACAGGGCTGTGGAGTCCATGAGAGGAAATGTGCTTGGCAAAGTGTCTGGCACATGGTTAGTTCTCATCATCACCATCCTTATATTATAAGCCTGAAGGTACAGTTTTACTGCTGCACTAATTAATCTCCACCTTTCTCCTGACTCTGCTAGCCATAGCCATTTTCTTCAGAAACCTGAGAATTTACCCTAGCACTGGCCTCATCGGCCTGAAAGGCTGCTCTAAAACTCAAGTTCCTTTTAGTTTAACAAAATTAATTAGTTAATGAATGACTAGTTTTCTCAAAAGATTTTTTAAGAAAGCAAAGTTTGTCCACAATCTCAACAGCACTGTTTTCTTTTCTTCAGATACTATCTAGTATCAGTCACGTGTACTTTATATAGTTGTGAAGCTTACTTTTCATTTATTAAGTCATAATTTTTCTATATTACTTTGGAGACCTTTTTAATAATTGCATAATATTTAGTCCACTGGATCAGTTTTTGTAGAGTATTATATATTTCAGATTACTTTTCTTTAACAAGGAAAACATTCAAACTGAAAAGTCTCCCTAACATCTGAGTTCCCAGTCTCCCTTGCCAGAGGCAAACACTATTACCAGTTTCTTGTGAATCCTTCTACAAAGTTCACAGGTGTATATATAAATATGTATAGTGATTTATACAGTTTCTAATTAGAAGGAATGTTATCTAGTCCAACCCCTTCAACTAATAAATGAACCACAGGACATCTTTCTAATATAAATCACCATCTGAAAGAACTAGGCACTAAAACTTCTAGTATGATTTTTAAAAATCCCTTAGTAAGTACCAGTATGGCATTTACACCAATATTTCAGAATAAAAGATCAGTTTATGGCTTCTTGAGTTCATAATTTACCAATATGTTAAAAATAAACAAGTAAATAAGCAGCCAAACAACCACAAAACTGCTATCTTCCAGGACAAATTGGACTACATGGAAATCAGTGGAGAAATGTACAACCAAATATCAACTTTTAACACAACTCAACATGGTCACATTTCAACCTATTTCCTAAATTTCATAACCAATGTTATAATGATATTGTTACAAAGAGCTTTAAAAGAGAGGAGGAGGAGGAGGGTATCCACAATGGGAGGAGGGGGAAGGAGAAGAAAAAGAAGAGGAAGGAGTTAAGAATAATATGAAGGAAACAGAGAGGAAGGAAGGAAAGAAGGAAGGAAAAGTTTTAAAGCTTAATTTAGGTGCTAAATCCACCATGACCAAGAATATAAAGCAACTTTCAAGGTATAGTGCTCAGAACTATTCCAAGAAGCAGAAAGGTACTGGAACTGCCACAAATGAAAGCAGAACAAGTTTCCAGTGAACTATTCCTACCAGAAGGCACTAGGCTAGCAAACAGGACAGGTGCACAAGGTTTGGTAACTCAAAGGAAGTCTCAGGAGTTGACAATTACTCTCAGAAAAGGCTGTGTACATGGACATGTCTTGAATGAAGCTATACTTTTCTCCACTGATGGGCAAATAATTATTTTAAATTGTTGAAAGATTACTTAGAAGACCCTGATAATTTTCCAAACCTTTTTATCATCACTGCCTCAAGCTCAGAGAAGGAAGGCATTTCAGAGAAATGCCAAACATTAAGGAGAAATGGCAGAGGGGAAAATAAAAATGAATATGGAGGAAGAAAAAGGTTATTTTGCCTTTGCCTTTATTCTAAATCTTAATGCCAAAGAACAGACTGATAACCTAGGTAAAGCATACAACTGCAGCCAAAGGTAACTTTAGATAAAAGATTGAGGTGTTGAAGCCTATATGCCTAACTATTCCCCCCGAATACTCCACATCCCAACATTTCCTCTGACAAGAGAACTTCAAGAGCTGACTTATTCTCTTAGGGAACCTAACAAATAAAAAAGACTTAAAAAACATTAAAAAAACAAAACAAAACAACTACTGCCCAACCAGTGTGGCCTGGTAGTTGAGCACTGACCCATGTACCAAGAGGTTGCCTGTTCGATTCCAGGTCTGGGCACATGCCCAGGTTGTGGGCCCAGTCCCAGTGGGGGGCATGCAGGAGGTGGCCAATTGATGTTCTCTCTCATCGATGTTTCTCTCTCTCCCTTTTCCTTCCTCGCTCTCTAAAATCAATAAAGAAAAAATTTTTTTTTAATTTGTAAAAACAAAACAGAAAAAACCAAACTACCTTTTTACAATTGGGGAAATCTGAATATGGACTGATTGGTAGATAGTATAATAGAATTATTGTCAACTTTCTCAGGTGTGATAATGATATTGTGTTTAAGTAGGGAAAATCCCTATTGATGCAAAAGTATTTAGGAATAAAGAGTTCTGATATCTAACTTTCAACTGGTTCTTGAAAAACATATATAAATAGATAAAGCAAATATAGCAAAATGTTAACTGTTGAATTAAGGTGGAAGGTATGTATATAGATCTTTACACTATTTTAACTTTTTTTTATGTTTGAAATTTTTCATTATAATAAATTGGGGATTGGGGAAGTACCGAGATATACAAAACATTTAATCCCGAGTCGGTTAGTTATACTATGTGCATTTCCATTTCAATAAAAGCCAGAAGAGCCCAGGCTGGTTTGGTTCAGTGGTTAGAGTGACTGCCCTTGGACCAGAGAGACTAGGGTTCATTATCACTAGGGGCACGTTACCTCAGTTGCAGTTTGTCCCTGGCCCTGGTTGCCCAGTTGGGGTTGTGTGGATGGCAACCAGTCGATGTGTCTCTCTCCCATCAATGTTTCTCTCTCTCTCTTCCTCCCTCTCTCCCTCCCACTCTATCTGAAGATAAATGCAAAAATAAATAAATAAATGCCAGAAGACAGAACCTTCAGGGAATCCATGGCATGGCAGGTGAGGGCCATGAAGG